TACTAATATGCAATGTCGATCATTATCAATTATAATTTGGGGTGTAGATTTTAGGCCCTAAATCAATATTTTGACCGATATGGCAAATCACCAATTAAATTAAAACCAAATTTTATTATATATTTGATCTAAATCAGATTACTTGATAGTTGGCTTCTAAAATTAATATACAAGATATATAGAAAATATTGGAATTATTATCATAAAATTAACTGTTAAACAATATTATAAAGTTTTTTAAAATTAATTAGTGATTTGCCACTCAACTAGAGAGAGCTCATAGTGTAATATGATGCAGTTTATATATAGAAATTAAAGTTTTTGGAATGTGAGCTGCTTCTATCTAAAACTTTTTTTTGTACTAAGTAAATTACCTTTGGGCCTCTAATTGAAGATGTAGAGCTCATCGAGACAAATCTAATAGTAGTTAAATCGTCAAAATCAACTTGGTAAATCACAAGATATCTTCAAAAAACATTTCACTGACTATGTAAAATTCTCTTTTTTGACAATAGTATTGCCAAGAGAATTTTACATAGTTGGCAAAACATTTTTCGAAGATATCTTGTGATCCACCAGGCCGATTTTGATGATTTAATCACTATTAGATTTATCTTGACAAGCTCTACAACTTCAATTAGAGACCCAAAGGTGATTAATTTAATACGAAAAAAAAGCTTTAGATAGAAGCAGCTCACATTCCAAAAACCCTAATTTCTATATGTAAACCATGTTATATTATACTATAAGCTCTCTCTAGTTGAGTGACGAATCACCAATTAATATTATTATAAAATAAAAAGATAATCAAAATAGATCTGCTCTATTTTATTAATATTTATAGTACTTAACAAAAGTTTCTCTGCATCTCTAGCTTTTGTTAGATCATATGCAGGTACGTAAAATTTTATTCACATATAGTATATTGTATATTCAAATTGTACTAACGTTCTTCGGGTATGATTGATAGTAAAAATACCTGCTTTAATCATATACAAAATTTCAGCCAAAAAAATGCCTCTCACTTTATATAAACAATATAAAATCATTTTTTAAGCACCTATTCAAAAAGCCTCAAGCTTTCAATCCATAAAACAGCAAAACAAGTTTACTGTGATGAAAGTTTTGTACACAATTAGGTAAAAAGGTAGCAAGAAACCAAAAACCTAAGTGATAAACAAAGGTCAGGTTATAAAAGGACCACTACTCAAAGACAAGACAAATAGATTTTAGAGCTAAAAAAAGAAAACAAAGACATTATAGCCCAGAAATCTATCGTGAATTAATGAAATAAAACATTGATATTCACATGCATACTATTCAATGACACCTTTGTAAAGGTGAGAGCTATTATTATAGAAAGCTTTCAAAGCTTTTGCTTGAAGAGAAGTATCAAATAAAATGCTTTTCGTGGGTGAAAAAGTATAAGAATTTTGACTAAGATTCCATAATATTTATTGATGAAAATACTTTCTGCTTGAATCAATGACTAAAAAGACATAGCAGTTCCTTGAAAGAAGAAAATTAATCTATTCTATCAAATATCCGATGAAGGTTCACGTATAGAGCTGTTTTTCTTCTTTAAATTTTGGCAGATTGGTCTGCTTTATGTATAACCTTAATATGCAATATATGACCACTCTGTATAAAATGAGCTTTTTGCTTTTTGTTAAGAATTTTTTTAACGAATGTTGCAATAAATGGATCTTGCAGGAGAATAATGATCTGAAGCATTATTTGAAAATCATGAAGGCTTGGAAGAAAAAAATAATATCCAGATTCTCTTCTGACTATCAATATCACCTAACCAAAATCTAATTAAAAACGTTTGGGGCTCATGAAAATGAATCTAACAAAAAAAAAAATTAAAACCCTTAGTTGTTTGAAGAGCAAAATAATAAGGGAATAGAATAGCTTATCTAAAAAATATATATATAATTTTGGTTAGAAGCATGAAAGGTCATGTAAAAACCCTAATTGAAGCTAAGAGTGATTATACAATACATTGATTTTCTTGTAATGCAATGTATTTTTTAATAAAAAAAAAATTTTTTACTTACCTCACCTCTGTGCTGAGTTAGAAGTGTGAGAAAACTTTTGTTGAGCACTGTATTTCATAGATACAACACTTTACCAACAATCAATTCATTAATTTGTTTATCTCACTGATACCTAATTCACCAACACTTAATTCACTAATAAGTAACAAATCTTTTAACATTGTTACTAGTAAGAGTTATGACTATTTTGGGATTTTAAAATAGCAAAGCTTCACATAGCCTTAAACAAAAGCTCTGGCATCAATACATAAACTTTTCTTTAAAGTTATTCTTGCTACATACTATATATAACCCTGTGTTTTTATATAATCTATCCTTTAAAATTGTTATTAACAAAATTTTAGGATACAGAAAAAGATTTTTGAATACAAAAAATTAAGGTCTTATTGAATATAAATATAAAATATGAAGTTTCAAACAACAATATTTAAAAAGTTCATATAGGCAGAGTTACAGAATTTATCATTAGGGTTTATTTTTTTTTAAACTTTAAGATTAAATAACTTTTGATCTACTGGTTTATTTTAAATAGTTTTACTACCAAAATATTTATTTCTTTAAAATAATCTCAACATGCCTAAAATTATCTAAATCCAATCACAAGATTATGAAATAATATGTGGTCAAGTAAGTGACCCACCTTATATGCTATACAATCGGTTAGATCTAAGACTAACCAATTATATAATATATAAGGTGGGTTACTTACTTTATCTCATAATCCTGTGATTGGATTTGGGCTTGTTGGATTGTCTTAAAGAGATAAACATTTTGGTAGTAAAACTATCGAAAATAAACTAATAGATCAAAAGTTATTTAATCTTAAAGTTTAAAAAAAAATAAACCCTAATTATAAATTCTGTAAATCCGCCCATATGTATGCTATTTTTACGAAGTCCCAAATTTTAAGTGGTTTAAATAAATCAACCAATCAGAGTGAGATTTGCAATAATCACATCGGAAATAGATCCGCCCATACGGCCGATACATCAAGTTTATATGATTGATTGGTTGTCATATGTAAACGCAAATGACCAATAATAAAATATACTATTCGGATCAGAACTCTACACTTAAATGATAGCTTGGTCCTTTAGCCTTTTTATTAGATTTCGTAGGCTTGGACTTTCATCAGAGTTCAGCCAGATTTCGCCTTTCGTCGTTATTAATATTTAAGTTTCGTCACCACTCAAAAAAGAACTATACATCATGTCACAGATGGCTAAGGGAGCAATGCGCTCCATGTACGTTTCAATTCAACATTTGATCTTCTATAGCTTGATTATTAGCCTTTATGTCTCTATAGATGTGTTAACATTTCTTTCGTTTCACTTTAAATACTATAAAATACCACAATAATAGAAAAAATTATACCAAGGGCTATTCAGATATGCAGGCAAAAGTTCGATCTGCTACGTCAAACGATCCATGGGGTCCTAGTGGAACTGCAATGAACGAGATTGCTCAAGCTACACATGACCAGTAAGTACCCATTAAGTTTTAAGTCAAAGGAAAAAAAGCCAATAAACTAAAAATTTAATTTTATTTGTGATACTTTAGACATTATTTTATAGAAATAATGGAAATGATTGATAAAAGATTGAACGACCATGGTAAAAATTGGAGACATGTTTTCAAAGTAAGTGATTACGAATGTATCGTGTGTTGAGTTTTATGAGGGATACGCAAATTGGTTTTCAATCCTTTTCTTTTCCTTTTTTTTTTTTTTTTTTTTTAATATAATAGAATTAGTAAGATTGATTATTATTATTTTTTTTCGTAGGCCCTTACTCTCCTAGATTACTGCCTTCATGTAGGGTCTAAAGAGGTTGTTACATATGCTAAAGATAATTTATATGTAGTAAAAACTTTACGAGAGTTTCAATATATAGATGATGATGGTAAAGATCAAGGTGCTAATGGTAAGTTTGGAAATTACTAGTCCTTTTTTACTTTTTTTCTTAGATTTTGATTCGTCTTATTAATATTTGAATACCGCACAGTGCGACAAAAGG